ATATATAGCTTAATCAACGAAGCCATACTCATAGATAACACAACACTCATACTTATCTGTTGAGCAGGACAGAGGCTCTAATTTTCATGAAGACAAAGATTAGATTTTAGTCACTATTCTTTGCTTAGGGAAATGTGCTCGGCACATACTAAGAACAAAATACAAATCTGGTCAAAGCAATGTCCTACTTAAAACTCTGCAATGTCCTCATAAGATCCTCTATAATCTAAATCCTTTCTGCTTTCTAGCTTCACTTTTGCTACTTTTATTTGATTTTTTCATTTATATTTAAGAATATTTTTATGTATTTATACCTATATAATTATTTTTATATATTTCTACCTATATGATTAAGCTATAAAAGGTATTAATTATATTTTTATTAAATACCTGCAGGAAGAATTTCTAAATTAGGAAGTTATTTTTAGCTGCAGAAGGTATAAATCAGTAAAGAGTCCAAATATGTACTGAGTGATAGGAGGTATTTATTTATTTAGGTTGAGGAGATGTGAAGCCATAAGAAAATTCATACTGATTTTTCAGTGAACTATAAATAAGCTTTTAATTTACTGTTACCTTGATATTGTGGGTTCGATTAAGGAGCCAGTTCTCATTTTCAGTTGATCAAGTTCAGATCTCAGCTTTTCGATTTCTTCTGCTAATCTTTCCTAAAGAAGTTAAGAAAATGTTTTTCAGATGATAGGTACATGCCAATATTACCAACACTCAGTTATGATAAACCAAGTTTAATAGCCTTGCAAAAAGGGAAATTGGTATATATGATTTCATTACAAATGATTTCACAAGATAGAAAAACATGCCTAATTTTTTCCACTGTAATAAAAATATGAACAGCAGAAATCAATATAAATCTTTCTACAATACTTTCCTTGGCATTCATTAATCTTAAATCTTTCTCAATTTACGAGTATATTAAAATCATGACCAACTATGTATACAGCTCTTCAAAATGCAGAGTAGAAAATTTTATCTGGTTTTTAAAATAAAGAAAAAAATCTTATTTATGTAGTTATTGAAAATGCCATTGGGTTGAAGGACATATGGGTAAGGAACAAAGATTAAAACATCAGCAAAAAATCATCACCTAAAAAGAAAAGTTAAAACCTAATTATTAGCTTGACATTGTACAATTATTTCTACTTTTGACAATTTTCTCAGACTGGTATTATAAATTTGGTCTGTAAATGTATGAATATAGAGGTTGTCTTATAGCCCTTAATTAAATGCTCAAGTAAGCAGTTAATTTTGAGTTAATGATTAGAACTTTATACTGTTATAAATGTCTAAAATGTTTCCTTCTAGATTTCCTATTTCTGTTTTTCTTCTCCCTTCCAGTGCTTGACATTTTAATCCATACTTTTTCTATGACATATTTTTTTTGTCAATGTGGATGTTGTGATGTTTCACTTATTTACCCATTTTATTTTCATTGCAACTGCTACTCTAAACCCTTTTTGCCTTTTACTTGAATTATTTTAGCTACTTCAGTCTCTTCTTTACACATTTTTTCCTTTAAAATGATAAGTATATTATTATTTTTTTGAGAGGTTTTTGCTATAGGGCGTGTGCGCTCGCCAGACAAAGAGAGACAGAGAGACAGAAAGCGAAAAATCACCCCCCAGGGGGGATGGCCATGCTGCAATCCCTTCTTCTCTGTTCTCCTCTTGGGATCTTGGGCACGCACGCAAACACACCCTGTGTGAGTTTTAAGCCACCAGGTCCGGGATGCGAACCACAGTCTATTACGTGGGAGTCCAGTGACATAGCCATTACTCCGATAAGTATATTATTTTAAAACTCATGTAAAATCAAATATGTGTTTTACTCTAAACATCTATCAGTTTTGGGGCCAGCAGGTGGCATGGTTATTAGGACGCTGGACTCACATGGCTGACCATTCAATTCCTGGGTGTGGTGGCTTATTTTCTCAATTTCTCTCTTTCTCTCTCTCTCTCTGGTGAGTACATGAACCCTATAGCAAATTAAAAAATAATAATAATAAATAAAATTAAATAATTATTTAAAAAAACATCAGTTTATTATTGAATTTACTCATTCGTTAAATTTGCCCATAAGAATGCACAGTGTCCTTTTGTGTGCCAGTCACATGATACAGTAGTGAGACTGGGTGGCAGTAAAGAAAGAAAATCACTAGAGTCTTTCAAAAATACTGACACGAGGATAATGGCTCAGTAAAAAAATGGTGTTAGGGAGAATAGCGAAATTCTTCCTATATTTTCATGGTAGAACTAACAGGATTGGACTGAAAATAGGATATGAGATAAAGGAAAGGGTCAAAAACAACTCTAAAATCTTAACCTGAGTAACTAAAAGAAAGAAGTTGTAGTTATGATTTACTGCAGAAACTGCTGCTGGTGGTGGTTACGTTAGGTGGTGTGTGTGGAAAGCAATGAGGATAGCGATGTGTTAAATTCAAAATGCCTAGAGTTCAAATGAAGAACTTTTTCTTTCTTTCTGTTTTTTTTTTTTTTTTTTTTTTTTTTTTTTTTTTTTTTTTTTTTGAATAAAGCACACATAGTTACTGGTGGTGGTTACGTTAGGTGGTGTGTGTGGAAAGCAATGAGGATAGCGATGTGTTAAATTCAAAATGCCTAGAGTTCAAATGAAGAACTTTTTCTTTCTTTCTGTTTTTTTTTTTTTTTTTTTTTTTTTTTCCTGAAGAACAGAGAAAAGTTGATAATACATGATACTAACCACTCCATATACAGGGAAAGGAACCTGCCAACCCATAGTACCTATTAGGCTGTTGGAAACTCATGAAGCATTTTGGTATGAACAGCATAGGAAAAAATTGTATCATGACCTTTCTGACAACCCAATGGAACTGAGGAAGCACATGTTTCTGACCTGTCACTAAGATGAGCAGTGACTACACTCACATTGACTTGAGACCAGTACCTTCTCTCTGAGAACTCCAACACACCAGGATGAGAGCTGTGTCAGCATGTGACTCTAATCTTGGCTCAAATGGAAAAACTAAATTGGCTTTAGAATATGCAAACTCTGTCAGTGGGAGAAGATGTCATAGGTGATCTAACTTTGGAAGTTCTTAATTTATAGATGTTGTTTAAACCCATGAGATAAGATGAGATCACCAGGGACTGAACAGAGAGAAGAAATCCAAGGATAGCTTCAGGAACTTCAAACTTTAGAGCAGAATATGATTTAAAAAAAAACACAGAGAAAAGGTTGAGCCTATGGGGGATTTCACTGATAGTGGACTACAAGTATAGTTAGCTGATTGAAAATCTGAGTTATAGAAGATTTGTTTAAGGCAATGGATGTGCTCAGTGTCTGGATAATAGCTCAGAAATAAGGTGTGACCTAGGATTTGCTTTCTCTGGAGACTGATATAAACAAGGATGAAATGATTAACATGAAATGATTAGACTGTTGGTTGCTTAAGCAGATTGCTGAAGCTACATGGCTTGGGTAGGTGGTGGGGGAGTGGGTTCTGGGGATCTTGCCAGAAGCACACTGAGTGTTTGATAGCATATGAGTGTATAATAAAATCAAGTCCAAAATTCACAATCTGGTCAAAACCTTGTTCTTTTAACACATACCAGTCACAGCAAACTTCTGGTGTTCATTAACAGCCATCTTTGTTTCTTCTGTGCTGTTGCATAGACTCTGATCTCCACCTACACTGTACTATACTTCTCTATGTATGTCTTCAAGAACTTACTGACATGGCATTTCTGCATGTAACCTTTGTGAACTACTTTAGGGAGAATTATGTGGTATCTTCTAATTCTTCTAGATGCCATATTATGTTTTTTAATAAGCCAGTCGGTCAGGAGGTGGTGGACACCCTAACTAGGATCAACTAGTTATTTTTTAAAAATACTATTATATTATATATTGCATCCAATTGGGTTAAGTGTATAATTATTCTCTATGTACTTATTCTTTGTGTTTTCTAATATCTTCTACATGCCATTCTGTTGTCAGATAGTTTCTCCCTTCCTCAATTCCTTCTTTCTTCCCTCTCTTCTCTTTCTCCATTCCTTCTATATTTTTTATCACAAAAATACAGATCATTTCTTAAGTTAGCAATTTTTTGCATTATAAGATAAAATTGCTAACTTGAGAATTTTACAGGCTAATTAAAGAAGGAAAGAGACAGTGTTCGAGATTTTATAATCTGCCTCATCTGGTATATATCCTACAACAGGAATTACTGATTCCAACCCAACAGTTTTTTGTTCCTGTTATTATTTAGGATTTCATATTCACTACTTATCCCTTCACCTTACCAAGGGCCTATGATCATGACACGAGCATTTTGTCTCACAGGTTTGTAGCAGAATCCTACCTCTTCTTAAGCCTTGTATAAAGTCCCACCTCCCTCAAGCCTTCACAGCAGTGACATATGGTGCACTTTCCTACCTGGAGCTCTTAGGGGCTCTCTCTTGGCACTTAGCATACACTGTCCTGTACTCTCATTGTTTAATCAATAGTGTGTTCTTTCTTCTCAGACTTTTCAGCTACTTTGTTACTAGGATTATGTTTGTAAGTTCAATATATAACTTAGCACAATTCTTGGGAACAGCAGTTGGTGTAATGGCTATGTTGCTGGACTTTCATGTAGTCAACTGCAGTTCAAGTCCCGGACCCGGACTCACGCCAGGCATGTGTACGTGCATGCCAAAGATCTCAACAGGAGAATGGAGGAGAAGGGATTGCGGTGTGGCCATAACCCCTGGGGGGTGATTTCTTACTTTCTGTCTCTGTCTTTCTGGTGAGCGCAAGTGCCCTATAGCAAACACCTCTCCAAAACAAGAAAAACTAAATAACTTAGCACAATTCTTATAGATAGGCATTTAATATACTACTGCTAAACTAATATCTCAAACTAGACATGAATTAGTTCACACATTTTTATTGCATTTATGTAAGGCACAAAGCAAGACAAACCTAATTTTTATAAATCAAAATAATAATGTTCCTTTTATAGAAGATTAGTGACTATAAATTACTGTAAAGGGAGCTTCCCAGACTGCTAAATTTTAGTGTGTTTAGATTATAAAAGTTCATCAAGTTGTAGGTATTAATGTGTACTTTTTTTGTAGGTTTAATATAAAAGTTATAATGGTTTTAAAAATATAACATCCAAAAATGATTATTTAGCAGATTTATTTTCCAGCAAAACATTCACCAGTATGAAATAGAAAAAAGGGCAAGAAATTTAAGTTTCCATAATACCTTATCATGTAATGACTCTTCAAGATTCTTTCTGAAAGTTTCTGATTCTTGAATTAAAACATTCTACAGAAAAGAGAAACATTAGAAACAATAAATTAAACAGAAAATATTTCAATATAGATATTCATGTTTTATCCTCAGGAATAAGGATTTCTTTCTTGATGTATCTGCTTCTTGGTTTCTATGGCCTAAGGAATCATTAGAGTGATATCTTAACATTTTGTGAAATACATAATTAAAATAGGAAGCATTATTTTGTAACACCTAAGCATTATTTTGTAACACGAATGGAATTTTTGGACTATTTCTGTTTACCTCCTCTAAACCAACTAATTTCCAGCTTTTTAAAATAAGAAACATTTTGGTTACTCTTCAAATCAGAAAAAGTAACTAAGAAGCTAAATATTAGCCAGTGGTATTATAAGGAATCTGAATGAATGCATTTTTACTATATGAAGAAAAAAACTACCAAAAATAAAATTTTTAAGAAATCACTTTCTGGATATCTGTTTCAAATACAGGATTAACAATTTCTAATAACAGTTAAAATATTAGAGAAATAAAAGTGAAGGTCTAGTTATTCAAGAAACTTAACATTACATGTTACAAAGACATGTAGAAATAAGTTGCATCACAGATAAGTAAAAGAATTCTTACCGTAAAATTATTTTTTTTAATTGGGAAATCATTTGTACTTTACTTATAGTATTACAAAGCATGGTTTTAAATAATTCATTCTTTTCAAATATCTAGAGCAAAACTGAACAAAGAAGATAGTAATTATATAGCAGCCATGTGTTCGGGGTTGCATGGGAAGAAGTCATGCCCTGTGATATCCTAACAGGTAAGTAAAGCAAACTACTTTAACATTTCACTGAAATATTTTTCCTGCTTTTGTTTACTATAGGTACCAGGAGGAAATATCTAGCTAAAGTAGTGATTAGCACTCAGACTAAATTTCCAAAATAAACTGTCTACCTGGCTTTTAGCTCCTATCATTGTGTATGCTCTGGGATTGACAACCAGCTCACGTAACGTGCTGTCTGGGAGCTGCCAACTATCAATGAGACACATAATTGTAAATTCAATTGCAGACCATACACAAGCACTTTGTCTGAAACACTGCAGCCAAAAATACTGGGTTTCTAAACCCTCCATCTGGATTCTCACTAGTACTATGGTGATGTACAGTTCACTTTTTGGACTGGTAGCATTTATCAGCCACTTGAGATATTGGAATAGTTCAAATACGCTCCATCTCCACACTACACACTCACACACACATATTTATTTTCATCTCATCACTCTTCTCTTTTGCACATCAGGTGAAGAACAAGTAAAGTAGAAAGTAGGGACCAGCAGATGGTGTGGTGGCTCAGGCACCTGGACCTAGCGTGTTGAAAAGTATGCCGGGGTTGTGTGCATGCATGCTCAAAATCCGAAGAGTATGGAGGGATTATGGAGTGGCATCATCCTGGGGGGATGATTTCTCACTTTCTCTCTCTTTCTGTCTGTCTGTCTCTCCTGTGAACACATAAGCCCAATGGCAAAAATCTAAAAGACAAAACAAACTCTGGAAAGTAAAGGGATCACCTAACAAATGCAATGATTACTGCAGTAAGACACACGTGAGCATAAGAATATGGCTGAACCTCATGTGATTCTACCCTCCTGTCATTTTTACCTTCTCTTCTAGAGCAGCCATTCTTTCCTTTAAGTGTAACTGCAAGCGTTCGTTGGATTCGGTCAGAAGTCTGTCCACAGTATCAGATAATCTTTTGTTATGTTCCTCATTCATTTTCTCTCTTTGCCTAGCCTTACATACAAGAAAAAGAAATCATTAAATGAAAAACCATTCAAAAACTGTTCTTTCTTTTATAGTTTTGCTAGTTTCAAATGGGATTTAATTTTATATTTATTTCGATTAAATAGACAGGAATGTTTTTCTTCCAGCTACACTAGCCATATCCATAAAGAGTTTATATAAAACGCTTTATTTAGCAAAGTTGTATTCTTTCATGCATGCTATAAATTCATAAACTGATCATCGGATGCAGGGTTCCAAATATACATACTCTTTGAAGTTCTTGATTCTTCTCTTCAAGTTGACCTTCCAGATGTCTCATACGTTCTTCAATATTCCCGTGCCTTTCTTCAGCCTGTTAAGAAATATGAAGAATGCACCTGAAATGTAAGATGTGGTTAACTATTTTCTTCTAAATAAATTGAAATAAAATGTAAAGCAAGCTACTACCAACTGCAAACATAGTTTTCAAAAAATAAACTTTCCTTAAACAGGCAGCTGAACAGCATTGCTTGAAATGTGTCAGCTACAAGGGCCTGTTACATCCAAGCATCAGCAAAACATTGGAGTTATTTATGAGCAATGAAATCAGCCAAATGTAACATGCAGACTGTGCATGGTTTGAACACAAACCTGCCATTGTCCAATCTTAAGCTCCTGAAGCACTGAACTGCACAGATGGTCGATTATCAATAAATAAAAGGAACATAATTTTCATAAATGAAAAGAAAAACTTAGATGGAGCCTATTTAGCAATAGAAAGTAAAGTCCAGTAGGACTACCTTCCTACGTATGGAGATCATTTCTTGTAGTTTAGCTTCCATAACATATTGATAATCATCAGATGAGGTAGAAGAGGTTGGATCAGACTAACAAGTCAAGGAAAAGGAGAGGGACAAAATTGAAAAATCAGAACTAAAGACACTGACACTGAACAAAACATAGCACAGAATGCTTAAAAGAAAAATGTGACAGCAAATTTAATACTTTAATAGACAGAATTTTATGTAGAGAGAACTATATTGATATCTGGTGAATATGATGCAGTTGATGGTTATAAATGAAAAACAATGGTATGCTAAAATAAAAAGCTGTCAACCTAAGGTATGGAAGGTTAGTGATGACTGGCGATGAAAGACTACTACAGAATGAATTAAAGCAACTCTGAAAGAGTCATGTAGTAATTGAAATTATGGGAAACCAAACACTAGAATATGTCTCTGATAGATTCTTAAAAGTTTCATATTTTGGTTGATTTGTCTATATTATTTTTTTAAAATAATGGAAATAATGTAACTCAATGTTGAAGAGTGTGTTAGGAAATGATTCAGGTGTAATAAATTTGGAACAAAATTTATTATCTATGCTCTGTTAGAATCAGAGAAAAAGCTCAGCCACAGGGTTAATTATTGAGTATTCCTCAATTCAAGCAGGATTGAGTTTCCTCAGCAACAGTGGCAGACTTATGAAATGATTTCGGTCTCTGCACATTAAGGTCATCAGTCTCGACCTAATTGCCTAGTCTCATATAAGTTTAATTTTAAAATTAGAAAAAAAAAAGTCCTCAATTATCAAAGTGACACTAATGCTGTGAGGACCAAAAAAAAAAAAAAAGAAAAAAGAAAGAAAGAAAAGAAGAAAAACAGCTATTTGTGAACTCTCACAAATGACACTAGGGACCACTCTAAAACTATATCTGCATTGATTTGTTGCTGTGGAAACAAAATATCAATACCTAAAGTGAATAAGTAGCAAGTGCTTTTGTGAGTTAATGCCTGCCCGGTGCCGAGGTTAGTTACATGTCTTGGAGGTGACTGTCAGGTAACCACAGGTGCAGAGTGTTCAACACATGTGACATTGCTGATAGCTGAATTGTATTAGTATGTTATGTACAGATTACATATAAAGTTACATTAACATTTTAATCATAATTGCAAGTTACATAATCAAAATGACTATGTCAAGACTATACATTTTATCTCTAGAACATATTCTATCACATGTTATAAGTTCATTCTAAAACAGTGAAACTTACTTTATGCAATTATAGTCTACATAAACATATCATGCAGTAACTAAAAAGAATCCACAACCAATTCACATATCATTTTATATGCATATGTATTATTTTATGCAAGAAATTCTAATTTAATATATGACGTAAACTAACATTTCAAATCTGGTGTGCTTATGCAAATTATATTTTAACATTTACATTTTGTAAGATTTTTTTTTCTGATATTCTCATTCCACAAACATGGATAATTTAACAAAAGAAAGTAACAACCAATTTCTCTCCTTATGAATTCCCCAAACTTCCAAATAGAAGCAACATAGAAAGCTACTGTGGTTCCTCAATGCCGTAAAGTGGCTTATTTTTATCACTTAAAACGTAGAGTTCTCTTAAGAATATAGTAAATGGGTCACAATGTGGCTGCAATTATATTATCTAAATTCATAAAAGCATCTCTAATCCTTCAAAATCGCACTTTAGCAGCTATAGTGATATCAAGATTAATCAGATGACTGATTCAAAATAGTCAAGACATGAATATTTCAACTTCCAAAATGTCTCTTCAAAAAACATGGTTCCATGACTTTTTAAAACTCCTGCCTCTTTCTGTTTTTACTATGAAAACATACTAAGCACTGTGAAAATTCACTTTAGAGAGGCAACAAAAATTCTGTCATATCTAAATTACTATGTTATTGCTGATACTTTTTATTGGTACTAAAAATAAATGAAATACCTCATTGAATTGAAGATGAATTATGTCCTTGCTGAGGGAATATGCATTTTAATTAAAGAAGTAGACATAATAAATCATAAGATTTGAAACCCAAAATAATCCTGTTGTTAATTGTGTATAAACTTGCCAAAGCCAAAATTTAAGTTTTATCCATAGCCATTATTCAATAGTTCTGACTTTCTAAAGACCTTAAATGTGCTCCACCTGCATGCACACACACACACACACACAGACACACACATGCATGCGTGTAGACGCCTGAATAAATAAAGTCTTATCTACCCAAGAATACGTTCAGACATCGTTTCTAAATAGTAAGTACTAAGATCAATTTTTAACTAACACTATTGACTTGTGATCATGTTATATATGAAGATTAGCTGCAGAAATTCATATGTATACATGTATGACACAGTAATGATTTCTACTATGTATGCTCCTAAAATTAGGTTTATCTTGGTTACATCTGTAACGTGATATAAGAAAAGTCTCAAATGAGCTAAACTTTCAGGGAAAAAATACTGCAGGCAGAAATTGTTATGAGAAGAGCATTAATATACTAAGACATAGAGAAGAAAAGAGCTTAAAAACAAGAATAAATTGGTGGCAAATAGTAAAACAACAACAACAACCAAAACCAAAACCAAACCAAAACAAAACAGAAACAAAGATAAGCCAAATTAATTATCTGAAAAGTTGTTAGGAAGGCCATTTGAAAACAGGAGAGAGGGGACCAGCAGGTGGCATTGTTGTTGAGATGCTGGACTCCCTTATGGCCAAACATGGTTCAAGTCCCGGACCTAGTGACTTGCTTTCTCACTTTCCCTCTCTTTCTTGCTCTCTCTGTCTCTCTCTGGTCAGATTAAAAAGTAATAATAAATTAAATAAAAATAATTCTAAAAAGAAAAATCAGGAGAGAGGAGCTTAGTTTTCAACTAAGCATAAATCTTCTTACTTTACTGAGAAATTAAAAAGATTAAAAAGTGAAAAAGATCATGATGATTAATAATAATGAGATATTTAAAACAAATAAAAAAAAAAAGAACAGGTTATAGAGATAGTTCCTAAAGATCTTGAAATCAGAAGACAAGAAAAAAACCACAAGATTTCTAAAGCCTCAAAACTTGGGAGAACAAGTAAAAGAGTGATCATCAAATGTTAGAAACTGTTGCAAGGAGAGGGAATAAACTCAGCATTTAAGGAATTTCACAATGAATTAAATATGACAATAATATGAAAACCATATATCTGAAATATGTTGTTTATATATAAACAATCAGAAGGAAAGGTAATAAAAAGAAAAAAGAGAATGAAATATAGCATCAGAAGATTTCTTATAGAAGCATAAGCATTTTCTGAAAAATGTGGAAATCAAAAGGATCTAAAGAAAAAGGGACTTATGGGACCAGCAGTTAGCATAATGGCTATGTCTCTAGACTCCCATGTAGTCGCCTGCAGTTCGAGTCCCTGACCCGGTGGCTTAAACTCAGGCCGGGCACACATGCATGCCCAAGATCCCTAGAGGAGAAGGGATTGCGGTGTGGCCATCTTCCCCGGGGGGTGATTTCTTGCTTTCTGTCTCTCTGTTTCTCTCTGTCTTTCTGGCGAGTGCATGCACCCTATAGCAAAAACCTCTCCAAAAAAAAAAAAAGAAGAAAGTAAGAAAAGAAAAAGGAACTTTAGTCGCAGGAAACTGAAAAAATTAGTACGAGTGCACAACATAATATAATATTGTATATCAACAATAAATAAATAAATGCCCACCAGACCCATGGCCTACTGGTTAAGGGAACTGGCCCCTGTATGCCTGACTGTGCAGTTTGAGTCCTGGACGCAGGCATGACTTGAAAAGCACACCAGGCAAATGCGTAGGCATGCATGTCCAAAACTGTGACAGGAGGGAAAAGTAGAGCAGGGATTGCAGCTTGACCACCTCAGTGAAGGATGCTTTCATCTCTCTCTCTCTCTCTCTCTCTCTCTCTCTCTGGAAGCTCAGGTCCCATGTGGCAAGAAAAAGAAAAAAAAAAGAGTTCAAAAGAATACAATGGAGAAGGGGGGGGTACAATGAGATACCTATTTCTGGTTATTTTTTGTATCTGAAATCACAGATTCTTAGAAATATTTAAGGTAAAACTCTGTAAGTCAAATATCACATTTAATATTATGTTTTATTCTCAGTCTATTTAAGGTGAATCTGTGGCAATGAATTGTTAAATCTTAAAGGAGGGAAATTCAGATTTATTTTACTGAAGAAATAATGTTGATCATTATTTTACAATAGAATATTATAAAAGTTATTTTTCTTCTTTAGTGACTTATTTATCTCCCACAAAATGCTGCAACGCAATCAGATAATTCTTTGTGAAAGTTCTTTATAATTATCTGATGAAAAACATATGCATGAATATCCCATCTTATAGTAATTTAAAGAGTTTACAATAAGAAATTAGATAATAATTTGAATAATTAGCTTTATATAATTTAGGCAATTTTTTCAAATTAAATAATGAATTTATCGTTATCTTAAAATATATTTTTTAAATTGCCAGAGGCATTTACTAGCATGGTTTGAGACTATGGAAGAATCCGAATTATAATCTTATCTTAATTACACTAATGTTTTATTCAACTAGTTATTCTAGCACTCTATAGACAACCAGCTAGTCCAGTGGCATTTTTAACCCTGATCTGCTTGGCCAAGCATTTGCCTTTTCACTACCTTATTATCTCCTCTATTTGAACCAACAAGCTGATCAATTTACCATTCATCTTTACTTCTGCATACTTTTTTGGGAAGCAGATTATTTGAATACTTACCTCTCCACTTCTACATCAATTCTATAACTCCTAATGTCAGAATTTCTAACTTGAAGTTTATCATGCCTATCATAGCCACTTATTACAGTGGCTTCACAAACTTAGCAAATTATATTCATTGTATAAATATCTAAAATGTGTATATATTTTTTTGAGATTATTTTTTTGCTATAGGGTGTGTGAGCTCGCCAGAAAGACAGAGAGAGACAGAGAGACAGAAAGCAAGAAATCACCCCCCTAGGGGGGATGGCCACACCACAATCCCTTCTCCTCCTTTTTCCTCTTGGGATCTTGGTCATGCACACACACTTGCCTGGTGTGAGTTTAAACCATCGGGTCTGGGACTTAAGTCCAGCGATGTAGCCATTACACTATCTGTTGGTCCCTAAAATGTGTGTATATATTTTTAATTAACGTAGAAAGTCAAACATGCTTTTATGGACAATTCTGGACTTCTAGTGACATGGATATATGCTTGGAAACAATGAAATTTCCATTGATTGCAAGAGGTCATAAAAATCCTTTTTAATATCATATTGGCTGCAAAATTCTAAAATATGCCAATAGGTGCAGAATCTTTATTTTATATTTTATTATTATTTTTAGGTTTTGCCATAGAAGGCATGCACTCACTAGAGAGAAATGGTGAGAGTGAAAGTGAGAAATCACTCCCCAGGGGGATGGTCACATCACAATCCCTTCTCTTCCATTCTCTTTCTGGGATTTTGGGCATGCACATACACATGCCTGGCATAAGTTCTCAAGCTACTAGGTGTGGGACTTGAGTCAAAGTCAGTAATGTGGAAGTACAACCCCTTAACCATCTGCTGGTCCTGGTAGAATTAAAAAAATTTTTTTTTTTTTAATTTGCTAGAGGTCATGAGCACTTATCAGAGAGACAGAGAAACAGAGAAAGAGGAAGGAGGGGAAAGCACACCCCAGTGGTATTAGGTCATGTTGCTATCCCTTCTCCTTTATTTATCCATTCATTGGGATACGGCACATGCACACATGTCTGGTGTGTTTTTCAAGCCACTGGGCCTGGGCCGAGATTTGAACAATGTGTTTAGCCATGTGGGATCTGGTTCCCTCCAGGCCAAATGTCCAGACCTTGCAGAATCAACTGGTCAAACTATGGTAGAACATTTTGAGTATTATTCAGCATATTATTCATTTTGAATCTTCAGAACAAATTACAACTATAAACATCACCTTTTTACTATTTAATGGCTTTAAGATCTTTGACTTCTACAAGTCTAACCTATAGCTTCTAACAAGTCTTATTATACTACAGTAAGAAAGAAATCAAGAGCTTATAATACTTCCTGTACTTCTAATAGCAGTTTATTTGAAGTCTGTTAAATTATGTCTCAAATATATATATTATACACACATACACACGCACATATATATGTGTGTGTGTGTATATATATATATACACACACACACATATATATATATACATCCCATATATACATATAGATATATATGTATATAAACACTATCATGAGGTCTTTACTCCGTAATTATTATTATGTACAAATATTACCATGAAAAATTAACTGTAACAATGAGTTGTTTTGTTAATGTTTGAATAGGCAAAGAAATTTTCATATTCATAAGTCAATCATTCATTTTGGCATAAATAAGATATGTACAATAAGAAAACATTCATTAAGTGACAGACCTATGTAATAAGATTAGATTAAAGAAATTTTCATGAAGTCTAAACATTTCTTTATAGATTCCATCTTGACTGCCAGTTCTTTATACTAGTATTTCTAGGTCAATCAATTGTTTTAGTGCAGTACCTTTGTTAGGGCTGCAATTCTCTGAGCCAGTTCAGCCTCTACTTCAGGTAAGGTTTCAGCCTTTCTCATAGTCTGCTGTAACTTTTGCTCAGCTAGCTCAAGACGCTCTTGTAACTGTCTGTTTTTCTCTTCCATCTGAAATAGTAATGGTAAAAGAGACACTTAACAGGTCAGGATTGGAATAGAAAACAGCAATCACTAGGGAGTTTGTACTTGAGCCATAATTTTATATTAAAAATCAGCCACCACTTAAACCTACATGTGCAAAGAGATGATGGTTGTCATGTTCCTATATGACTGATCCATTTTCCTTAGTGAAAATCTGCACGTTTAAAAAACACATATAAATGCTCTTACCATTGGCAGCAAAAAGCAAATGAAACATTAATGAGTATAAATTTTAACAATTGAAATATAACTCAGTACTAAGACTTCAGGTATATCATAACATAAAAGCATTGAAAAGCATAGCATTAGACTAGAGCAGGAGGAGAAATGGGGCATGATAATTCAGAATTCAGGCTCCAGAGAGGAGGCTGGCAAACTTTTACTGTAAAAAGCCAGGTAGTAACTGTTGATATTTTGGCTTGGTATATTATGGTCTCTATCCCAACTATTCAACTCTGGGGTTGTAGTTCAAAAGCAGGTGTAGACAGCAATTAGATGATGGAGCATGGCTTGTTTCAATAATAAGAATATTTATAAGAGCAGGCAGCCAGTGAGATTTGGCCTGTGGGACATGATATGCCCACTTCTGAACTATAGTCCAATTGACAGGCTTCCAGTACTGGCTCGGGAGTTTACCGGATGTGTGACCTCAGGAAAGCATTAATGTCTCTGTACTTCCATGTCCTTGGTGTAATCATTGGACCTACTTTATGGGTGGTGGTTTGAGTTAAGTGAAGTAATACAGTTATCCTGTTCAGCATGATTTCTGGTTCATGTCTAGATCCACATAAATATTAGTCATTTTTATTATGATTAAGACAAATTATTATTCTAGAAAGTAAGTTCCATACTGAAAATCACATTTGTTTAGTTTGCTCCATTCTAAGTTTTAGAGAATGATCAATCAACAATTTGCGGAAAAACATACTCTATTTTATTTACTATATGTTTCGTGACAATGGTGAGAAAGCACATGTGAACCAGAACAAAATCAAGATGGCGATACCGAACCTGCCGTAGGATGGCTTCTTTATTTGCCAGTTCATTTTCTAGTTTATCATTCATGTCATGTATGGAGGTAGATTCTCTCTGAGCACTGAGGTAACGCTTCTCAAGGGTCGTGATTCTTTCTTCCATATCTTCCTTCTGTGCCATGGCCTGTAGTTAAAATAATTTAAAAAATCAGATTATCAGAGAGTTTAATGTATTGATACTGTGTCTTGTTATTGTATCTGAAAACAAGTAAGGTATAAAATATAAAATTCTGTCATAATTCTTATATCATATGTTAACCCAAAACAGCTCTCTGAAAATGAAATAGAGTGCATTTAAAACTGTCCACTGTAGATCTGGCATTTTTAGAGAAGTGGAATATTAATTAGATCATTGTACAGTGGAAATAAGTAGAATTATGGATAGTTGCAGACCGTAATATTGCTAAAATAGCTACAATTCTAAATTGCAAAGCATTCTTCAAATAAGGAATAACAAATGACATCAGTATTTTCACTTTCACACATGAGGAAGAGTTTGTCAGTTGTCAAAGGAGGAGATATCCCCCCTAAAAACAAACAAAAAAACAGAATATTTGAATCATATTCAAAATACATGATTCATCAACTGACTTGGGAATGTAACCAGTTCCCTTGTTACATACACTTAAATAAGAATTAAGAGAAATTGGTGCACACATAATTTTAGGAAAATATTAACTATAGGGAAAAAAATGGAGAACATCCTGGCATTGGTATTTTTTAAAGAATTATTTTATTTAACTTTATTTGTTATTATTTTAATATTTCCACAGAGAGACAGAGTGAGAAAGCAAACCACCAGGTCCAGGACTCAAACTATGATCGGACATGTGGGAGTCTAGCGCCCTTAACCACCATGCCATCTGCCGGCCTGAACATTGGTATTTTCTTAATTTACAGATAATATGGCAATGATTCTACCATTTAAACAACTAATATGAAAATCATTTGGTAGGTAATCTACTTTATTGAGAAGATATTGAGGTAGTTTGCTTCATATGTCTGATATGGTTTACTGAGAATGTGGGAAGGTCGTTTGTATAAGGAGCCTGAAATGAAAGGGACAGTGGTCATTTCCATGTATTACTATCTACTACTCATTTTTAATCACTTTCTTCCATGGCCCAGAGACTATTCCGCCACATATATGAGCCAGAGAATCTGTCTGCTAACTTTCCGGGGGAAAAAAAAAAGAAAGCCCTCAAATGGGCAGTCCTTCCCTCAATACCATCTGGAAATTTCACCACATATAAGAAAATCTTAGGTTTTAACTTTCAGTTTAGAACAACTGTCGTACATTCTCTTAAAGGTTAATGATTGTCTGTGCTCTGGCTATGCTTTTTCTTTCTTGGGAATCTTGATCACTTTTTCTTCCTGAATTTTTATGGTAATGATAAAAATTCCATACGATAGCTAAAAGAGTGAAATAGTCATAAAAAAATTGACACAGATCAGAAAAAGGTGGCAGAGGAAAAAGGCATGATCCTTAGAATATAAAAATAAGAATGACAATTTTTGGTTGGTTGTTTAAGCATGGACATTACTTAAATAGAGAAGAATTTTAACAATGCTATTAGAGAGTGTGGGAAGATTTACCATCAACTAAAAATTAAGTTAAAGAAATTACTTTATCAGTAATAAAGTTATACAACAAAAGGAAATATTATCATAGGAAACTACTACATGGCTTAATTATTGAAAGTATTCACGTGGTAATGGTAGGATGAGTAGAAGAGAAAGTAAGGGGATAAATAAGATATAGCCAAAGTCCTCTCTAATAAAATAGTAAGACGTAGATTATGTTTAAATGAGAGAAAACACCTAAAGGGATGACTAAAGGGTGTAAATGAAGTATCTCTGGAAATGGGATGGAAACTTGAGGTAAAATCGAGACAGGAGCAATGTGTGTGTGTTTATAGGTGTACCCTCTTGACATTATTTGACTATGGAAAATGACACATTTATTAAAAAATACAATTAAAACATATGTTTACCATGAATACCATCATGTTGTTCATAATCTCCCTGCCCACTCACAAAGCAGCTCTTGTATTTCTTGACTGAGGAAGGGTACAACTCTACAGAATTTTAGGCTTATTCTTGAAAACTTTCACCCTTACTTCCACTTTGTAGTCTATCTTGTCATGTTGCTGTTCCTATTTTTCCTCCTTACTTATTTCCACTTCGCTGTCCAGAACAGAATTATAAATGTTATTCTGTCTGATCATACTGATTCTGAGCTTAAATACCTTTATTTATTTCCATCTTACAGGAAAAATCTGAGCTACAAAGCATGGAAAATGAGTAATCTTATGAGAAGTTTCTTCCCTTGTTCTGTTTATTGTGGTGAATGCTGCTCCCACAGCCCAAGATCCATGTTCATGCTGCAAATAAATGTTGGAGATACAATGGAGTTAAAAAGAATTCACATGGAATTATGGTTGTCCTGACTCCAATGACTGCTGTTTCTATAAAGAGAAGGATGTTTGGGGATACAGACATTTGAGGAGAAGGAATTAGGCAGATATTGGAGTTACATACTGCTACGGCCAAGAATGATTGAGAACAACTGCAAGAAGTCAGATGGGGTAAAGAAAAATTCTTCAATAGACTCTTCAGAGAGAACATGGCCTGTTGGAACTTTGATCAGATAAGCCTCCATAACTGTAAGGCACTAATTCTTGTTGTTTTAAACAATCCAGTTAGCAACAATCAGTTACATCAGCCTCATGTTACAGCTATATTCCATTACTTATTTTATAACTGAAATGCATTTTTGTCACCTTCTTTCTTTTTTTTTTTTTTTTTTTTTTTTTGGAGAGGTTTTTGCTATAGGGCACGTGCACTCACCAAACAGACAGAGAGAGACAGAGAGACAGAAAGTGAGAAATCACCCCCCAGAGGGGATGGTCACGCCGCAATCCCTTCTCTTCCATTCTCCTCTCGGGATCCTGGGCACGCATGCACATGCACCCAGCGTGAGTTTTAAGCCACCGGGTCCGGGACGTGAACCGTGGTCAACTACGTGAGAGTCCAGCGACATAGCCATTACACTAACTGCTGGTCCCCCTTTTTGTCACCTTCTTCATCTAGCTCAGTCAACTGACCTTCAAGAACCAGTTGATACCAGACACAATGTGGGAGGAGGGTGGGAGATGGCAGAGGATGAGATAGGGAATCAAGGATGGGAAAAAAGGCAAAATATACAGAAAACAAGAAATGGAAAATTATGTGTTGACAATAAAACATATGTTGGTGTGCTTGACTGAGCCAATATACAGTGTACTGTGAATAGAAAAATCTCATTTTGTATGCTATAATGATGTACAGTGAATGAATGTAAATAAATAAATAAAAATAAATAAATTTAAAAAAAAGAAAAAAAAGAACCAGTTGAAGACTGCTTGGTTAATTATGTTCATATTAAAGTTCAAATGTATGAGACTAAATTAATCCAGCAATTAAAAAAAATCTAGTCAGATAATTTAAAATATGATATACACACCCCTAGATCTTAGATACCTCAAAAACACCTATGATTTTAAAATACTTTTATTATAGAGTTTGGCCTTTTTTTTTTTTTTTTTTTTTGTAGCTTAGTGATAATAGAGTTTTATTTTAGAGGATCCTTTCAGTGTTTATTTTTAATTTTTTTTTCTTTTTTTTGGGAGAGGTTTTTGCTATAGAGACCGTGTGCTTGCCAGAAAGACAGAGAGAGATAGAGAGACAGAAAGCAAGAAATTCCCCCCCGAGGGGACGGCCATACCACAATCGCTTCTCCTCCATTTTCCTCTCAGGATCTTGGGCACGCATGCACACGTGCCCGGCATGAGTTTAAGCCGCCAGGTCTAGGACTCGAACCGCGGTCAACTACATGGGAGTCCAGCGACATAGTCATTATGCAAACTGCTTGTCCCCTCAGTGTTTATTATTGTCAATATTATGTTCTATCAGTTTTATATTCATGCAGAACACTAGGAATATTAAGTCAATTTTGTGGCTAGAAGAGAAATTTATTAATCTAACCTGTATACATACATACACACACACACACACACACACACACACACACATGCATGTACACACTTCTTACTAAATTTTAATAGCAATAAATTCAATAAATGGCAGCCACATTTCTCAAGAAAAAAGCACTGGAGTAGTATATACATACTTGCTCCAAAGTTTAGTTTTTGATACTACTCACTTCCTTATCATGGGCAAAGGCTTCTCTTCTCTGTACTTCTATACCTCGCCTTCCTCTTCTTTTTTTGTTTTTGGTTCAGATAGATAGAAATGCTCACACATAGCATTATTGTTGAGGACACACATAACATTATTGTTGAGAATTAGGTAATAAAACATTTTAAATGCTTTGTACGGTGCCACATGTAGAATACACAATAGGTAATAGCTGCTTTACTTTAGTTACTATCATGTTCAAAATGAGGTGATCTCACTCTACGATATACATCATATGCTGGAGTCAACTTCGGTAGTACATTTCTGATTCTGTGGTTTGTGTGGGAGATTCATTTTTAACTGTAGGCTGTGTTGCCAAAAATTTTGAATTTACAAGTCAGAGAAAATAGCTTTTTCCTCTGTGCCATGTGAAATTTCTAAAAAAGGAAGATTCTTTTGGTCCCTAAAAACTGCTACCCCAAAACTGAAACACACACACACACACACACACACACACACACCCCAAAAAAACTGAGATTCCATGATCTCTTAACCTCAAGTTCATGTATAAAATGGATTTTATTAATTTGAATAAATGTAACTCTATAGTAACTTGAACTAGTAAAGTGGACAATATAACTCCTTGTTTCAGATAACAGAAAGACAAAATTGATATGTATTCATTCCTATAATCACTTAGCAAACTTTGGAAGAACTTCTAATAGAAAGTCGAAAAGATAAGCTGGCTTTTTTTTTTTATTCAAAAAATGAAATGCAATTAAAATACCTTGTGGAAAATTTCTGTCCTTTGCATATCTAGGTATTTGATGAGATACACAAGTAGTAAACTTCTTGATTAAAAAGTGGAGAGCTAAGTCACTATTGTGAGATAGTCTTTTTTTTGTTGTTTCTCTTTTACGAGAGAAAGGGAGGAGATTGGGGTGG